CCATGCTTGAATACGTTTGCAACGAAATGTCGGAATTTTCTATAGAAATCAAGTTACTTTTCAGGACATTTAAATTTTCCATTTGGTAACCCTACACTGCGGCGTGTACGGCGAAGCTTCGGAACGTATAAATTTGCATGTAGCGTAACCCCTCGTCCCTATGCAATTGCTTTGCGACAATAATTTATTCCGTAACTGACGTGGACTGTATTTCGTCATAAATGTCCAAATTAAGGCCTATTGTTAGGTTTAAGGGTCAGCTATAGTACAGCACACCATAGTATAGCATACCTACCATAGTATACCATATTAGAGTATTGTATTTGACGGCTCCGTGAGGCAGTGGCTCAGCAAAGAGTTGCATGAGCGCTAAGGGCCGCGGGTTCAAATCCGTAACAAGTATTTATTTGCATGATCCACAAATAATTATTTTTACCCTTGTGCAATTTATGTACGTAAATAGCCCCTACGATACAGGAGAAAATTCTAGTAAGAATTTAACGCTTTTTTTTTAATGGTATGTCGTAACATAATGTACCGACGAACTAAAGCCACGACTTTTTATTTATTAAGTTTATTTTTTTATCCTTTTAAATAGACTAAGAAATACCACAAGACAGTTAACACGAGAATGCGCTCTAAATTGTTATTATTACTATTTTCGCGCCTTCACAGTCAACACAGGTCTCTCTCAAGAAACTTCAGAAAGCACGGTCCTGAGCCACTATCCGTCAAATTCCTGCATATCTTACTTTTAGGTCGTCTCTCCATTTAGTGGCCGTCCCAGACTTTGCTTACGTCATATAAATAGTTACAATAAAATTTTAATCTCCGATCTTTCCACCTTTATTAGTGGATTTTTTCTTCAATTTTAAACGTGGTGACGTTTTCTTTGATGTGCCTGCCTACTTAATAAAAAGGTACCGTTTAAATCAGTTAGGCCGTTTTCGAGAAATCGAAGAATATATTTAAAAAAAAAACATTATGCGTCAAATATAGAGCCCACTTTCCCTTCCTTTTTAAGTCAGTGAAAATTCAAATACATTTATTAGTCTGTAAATACAAGCTATTGTATTGTAGCACTAGTTGTGATTCAAACTCAGGACCTACCCCTCAGGGTGGCCAGATGGTCGGGATTTGTCTGGATTCTTTCGAAATTGAATATATTTCTAGACGTGCGACAGACAATTTAATTATAGTTTTGTGCACAACGCGCGGAGGTCGGATGGAGACCGCATCATGCATTATCACTTCATGTTTTTCCGAATATGAACGGTATGTTATGAGTTAATTTTAAAGATAAATAGGGAAGTTTTTATTAAAAGTATATACTCGTACTTGACGGTTACCAAAGCCCGACATTCAGATTTTTTATTGTATTTTGTTTTCGGATCTGGTAACTCTACCCTTAAATCAAAGACCAAACGACGACGTACTTACTCGTAGTAAGCGGTCTTTTATTTCCTACTATTTAATATAGCAGGTTCCAATCCAATGTGATAGCATTGGAATAATCATGACATTGGATTATATTTTTGTTTTTATACGTGGTGGGACGTGGAAGGCCTTCGTTCTCACAGAATACCAGTCCAAAATAGCAGCTTAAATCTGCTGTGTTTCGTATGGTGAGTGTAGATAATCGGAGACCTGTTTTATTGGAAATCGAGGCATTCCATCTTAGTCCTCAGGGGTGACAACGAATCTGCAGTTTTATTTTTCATTGAGTTTAAATGTAGATGTCTATGGGCCACAGCATCCACTTACCATCAGGTGGACTGTGTGTTCGTTTGTCACCCTTATTCTATTTAAAAAAAATAATTTAGAGTTTTGGCGGAAACTTTCCGGCCGGTGGATTGCCGCTCCTGCATTATAGTTTAGAATTTAGATAATGGTTTGAAGTAAATTTTGATATGTAATAGTGGTACAATTTTGTGTTTTATATATCTGTTTGTGAACTAGTCATTTACTAACTGGAAACTATGAAACAAGTGCTCCCCTGGTGATGCGAACCTGAAGTTAGTGTCTGATTGGGCGCCTTGAGATACTATTGTCAACGACTGTCTGCTCGCGCACAGTACTATTCTGGATTCTGTGGTGCTCGCCTGAGCTGCCCTCAATTTAAAAAAAAACTTGCGATGTGACGCCTTAACATATTGTAGAGAAGTTTTAAACCATTTATTACAAAGGATAATTTATTGAAATTTGACACTGGCAAAATTATTGCTTACTACGGGTACGTTGAATCCGTCTTAAGATACGGACTACTCTTGTGGGGCAACTCAACTGACGCAAACAAGGCCTTCCCGTCAGAAGAAATGTAATCGTGCACTGTGTTGTAGGCCCTCTTGAAAGCTGTAGACCCCTGTTCAAGGAAAAAAGTATTCTCACTTTAACTGGTTTATATATATTAGAAATCTGTGTTTTCATTAAAAATAATTCTAATCAATTTTTTTACCGTGCTGGAAAGTAATAACTCTCTAGCAAAAAGAGATCCGACACGTCTACTCATGCCATCTTGTAAAACTACATTATTCCAGAGGAATTGCCTCATAATGTATCAAGGTTTATAATAAAGTTTCTAAAAATATTCGTGAACACCAGAAAGAAGAAAGAACAGAAGAAAAAGCAGTGGCTAATAAATACTGCCTTCTATAATATCAACTAATTCTTTAACCATATATTTTGATTTTATTTTTATTGATTTAGATCCAGTATTTTGCATGATACTTCTCAAATGAAACTAAAATAAATTTTTCTAATTTTGTACGTTTTCCTAAAAAAAACATAAATATAAAGTGTTTATAAAAGAAAAAGAAAATTTATAAAACTGTTTATTTCTAACTTTATTTTTTAATTTTAATTTATTTTTAACATATTTATTTTAAACAATTTTTACGCATGCCACAAAAAGCAAAACATGTGGAAACAAATGTTGACTCTGTATCCATCCGTCTGTAGCCATGTTTTAGTGAAATAAGTGGTTTGATTTGTACAACCATGCGGGTTCAAATCACCAGTAGCGTTACTGATCGCCATGGCTATTATTTATTTTGTGGCCTTGGTAAGAGAAAACATATACAACATGATTAAACCAAACTAAAGTTAACATAAAATAACACGAGATTTCGTATTTCCGCAAAGGTCAAAAACTTACTAAAACAAAGATTGTGTATAAAAGGTTATTAGTTATTATAACAGAATGATAATAACCTCTTTTAAAGGGGTCATAAATACCGAGACATTTCTAATATGATTAGTATAGTTAATCTTTCTTATAATAATGTACTCCAGACCGAATTTCGGTCACGGCGGCCTGCCTCAACGGAGGCTAGCCATCAGCACAGGACAGGATTATAGTGCCCAAGTTTATGCGCAACCACAGGTGCACTCTCTATTCCCTCGACACACGACCCCTTCTCTATTCCCTCACTCTCATAATCCGATGGGACGGTAAACCGACACGACCAGGAGAGAGATCAGGCGCTCTTTCTTATATATAAAAATCAACCTTGTCTCGCTCAAACTCAAAAACGGTTCGAACGATTTTGATGAATTTTTTGTATTGTTTACAACTCAATCGGACCCGGTAGAAGGCGCTGTTGTTGAGATACAGAAATCAGCTATGCAAAGCCGGGACCAATTGCTAGTTGTGCAATATAATTGAAATGCATATCTTAACTCATCCCTCACCGTTCCATCTCGTTGTTGTCGACATACCACACCTTTAAACCAAACGGTTTGGTTTGTCGTTCCTAATGCGATGCAAAGAAGTGGAAAATTTTGACAGCTTCTTTTTTTTTCTATTCGGTTTTAATGTATAATTTATGTATTATTAATTTATGTAATATTTATGTATTCAAGGCAGGAGTGGATAGGCTTTTGTTGAGCTAAGTTAATACACTTTGTTATCTTCAGCTTCATCACCACTTGCTATTATTTGTGATAGTAGTCAATTACTGGCTTACAATAAAAAAAACATAACTGTAATTTGTTCCTTTTTCAAAAATAAGTTCTGGTAGGTTTTTGGTTTGTTCTCCAAGGACAGGTTTTCCAAACCAGATACTTCAAATAAGTATTTTCATAATCTAATAGCTGGTACCCAAGGAGTTGCTGCCGCAGAAGAAATAATTGTGGAAATATTGATTTAAATTTGGAAAAGTTATTAATCAGGAATGATAATACAAACAATCAAACTTTCAAATAAATTTGTCTATACGATACGCGCGCCAACTACTGTAGGTTAATTGTACTATATCTATAACCGAAGACGTAGATGGGTAAGGACCAAATTTTTATACCGTCGCACAACAAAATATCACACTGGAAAGTGTCACAATGGAACCTGACTGTCGCACAATAGATATATTAAGCTGTGGTTACACTTAGAATAAAAATGTGATATTTCATTGCAATATCATGTGTGATATCACAATGTTACAAATATAGGTACATACAACTATAGTTACTGAATTGTATGTGTATATATTGCATTCAAAATACGAAAAAATAAAAATCTTATTTTTATTAATTATTTATTCAAAACGCCAAATAATCAAAACATTCAAACAAAAAGATTACCCTCCTTTTAGAGCAGTCGCGTAAAAACAAATAATACAGATAACTAAAGAAAACTCTTCTAAAACAAAACAAATCTCCACTATTAAATTATAACAAATTAGTGAATAATTTCTTTAACTAGAAATCTTCTAAAACAAAAAAAATCCTCAGAGAACCAAAGCTAAACATTTCTATTAATAAAAAATATCTATTAAGCAGTAGTTAAATCCCAAAAATTTCCAAGTAAATAGTGTAAAAAGTTCATTGATATTTTGTATCGAATGTAGTATCCTCCAGAGAAATAAAATAAAAAAATTTAAAGTAAGTTTCATTAAAACTGTCTAACAAATAATACTCTTTTGATTTTACAGACAATCTTATTTTTTTAACAATTGAAATATTGGTTACAGTATCGAGATCAACTTTTTTTGGCCTTATAAATTTTAAATTTTAGGAGTTTTTACAGTCTTTAAAAACGAAACTGTATAGAAAGTTGTACCATCTTTAATTTCAACACTCGTGACAAATCCTATGTAGTACTTCCATTTTCTCATAAAATATCTTACTAACACAGCGTTGTCTACTTCAATTTTTTCAGTGAAGTCACAAATTCCTGAGTATCCATCCTTTTGTTGATCAACTGTTTTCGAATCCTTGGCATTACAAGTGTCTATCTGATGCTCCATATTTTCTTTTAAGGTGGAAGATCTTTTGGAGGGAGATAAAAGGTCTGTTTTGGATGTGGAAGGAACGGAATTTGTACTACTTTTGTCTGGAAGCTTTTTGGAATATACGTCGAAATCTAGACCAATTTCATTAAGAGTTATTTTTCCATAAGATTTAAGATCCAAATTTTTAAGGTTTTTCGGCGTAATTTTAACGTCTGCCAAAACCGCCACTTTTTTATTTTCTTTCATTTTTCCACAGTGTCCTTTAAATATACTCTTCTTCAGTTCTTCTTGGTTTTTTCCATTATTTTTCACTATTTCCTTATCTCGTGTCTTTTTCTTCTGGTTTTCTTGTATTTTTGACTCTGATTCAGTTGGTATATTCTGTGCATTCTCTTCAGAGGACGATATAACAAAGCTTTCATTTTCATTCCATTCAGATGTATCACTCTCTGCATATTCAATCTCCATATCCGTATTTTCGGTAGATGAATCTTGATTCTTTCTTGAATTCTTGCATCTATTTTTCCTTTTTTTTTAATTTTTTTTTCTATTTTTATTTTTATCAAATTGTGCATTTTAGTGTCAAAGCAGTCACAATTGCCTCGCAAGCAGAAGCAACTTAATGGTCTGTACTTTATTATATTTTCATATTCAGTTGCAATGACTTGATGAACTTTCATTGTAGATGGTATAGGTGTTACCCTTTCAGGCTCAGGTATTTGAATCATCTCTATGTTACTTTCTGGTACGTAAAATGTTTTCACAGACGTAACGGTTTTCGATAAAATGTCAAATACAGATTCAGCATCAACTATATCAACACCATATGCAACTCTTGCATCAAGGGTTCTCTTCTCCACACCACCGACCCCGTCAGCTGCACCTTTACCATGTGATGTTTCAAAAAATGACCATGTTCCTTCGGTAAAGCCTTCTTCCTTAATTTTTTGACAAAAAAGGTAAAAGTTATTTTTTTGTTTATATTGTGTTGCAGGACCGTCAGACCAAAAGTGGATGTGGCTAATTTTGGGAAATTTCATTTTCGCAAAATCTATGACGGGTTTCAAGTGGCCCCATATAGCTTCGGGGCCGTGTTTGAGTGACGGAGAAACAGTACAAAAACAAATGGGTTTCTGATCTTTGACATACAACAAACCTGTATGTAAGGTTACTTGAGTTTTAGAAGCACCAAAGTGCATAGCCTGCACTTCTATGGCCATTTTACAAACATAATTTTCTGAGAAGTCACAATGAATGATAACTTCGTCATCTTTAATGTTTTCAAGCGCTTCTCTATATTGCTTGTATTGATGATAAATGTTAAAATAATGTACTTTAAATTTTTGAAGTTCACTTTGAAAGAAATCGACAAGACATTGAACCGATCCAGATTTAACTTCTTTCACCATTTTTTTAGTAATTTTATGTTTCCCGTCTTTGTCGTATTTATAAGTTTTATAAAAACACTCTAACCAAGACACTTCCATATTATTGTCTGGAATCCCAAAATTAAGTGTTTTGTTAGCGCATAATCTGCACTCCGAATACATACAAATTTTAGATTTAGTATTGCATACAATTTTAGACACGATCTCATTCAAATCGTTTGATTCTAGCAGGCCCAACTTTTTTAGCGACTCAACTTTGAAAATTAAATTGGAATGCTTAATACAAGCGCATGTATTGCGGGTACTTACATTTGGTGAAACTACATAAAAAGGGCGATAACGTTTAAAGGTCGTAAAAGACACATTACCGCCTTCATTTTTGTATTTTTTTATATAAATTAAGTAAAGTGTCAAGCAGAAGGCGTTTTTGTTTTTGAATTTTATACTTTGTAACATATTCTTTCTTGCCAGCTGTCATGCGACTGACATCATCTCTTATAAAGAATTTTTTCAATTGTATAGCTGATTTGTTTTTTTCTTTTTTTGTTTATTCCGTATTGCCTAACCTCACATTTTAAGCCTAAATATTTAGTCATTTTTGTTTTCAGATTATACTTTATAGCGGCTTTACTATTTATTATATTTTTGAGTACTCTTCTTTCTTTGAATTTCTTAGTACCTCGATATGTTTCCTTTAAGGAATCTTCCATGACATGATGTTGTAAAAGTTTTTGCTTAACTTTTGCTTTAGAACTTTCGGAAATTTGAGGAAGTTCTTCATTAATAAATATATTTGTTTTGGTCAAAGGCGTTAGCTCATTTGCCTTTTGCATAGTTTGCATAACTACATTATCGGGTTCTGGCAATAATTCGGGCTTTCCACTTATTTCTTCTAATGTTTTTATTGATTTTAGGTCATGCAGCTGAGACGTAAGTATATTCATTCGTCTTTTGCATCTTATCAAAGACCTTCTCAGAGTATGGTTTCTTTTAAGTAATATTTCTACTTTTAGTTTTAATTTTTTGTTTTCGTAGGCCACTGTACTACGATACCTGCGACGTGCTTTTTGACTATTATCTGTTACCGTAGGTGAAGGTGCTTTCTGTTTCTTCTTACGCTTTTCATCTCTCCACCGTTTTCTTGCTTCTTTTTTTTCCGTTTCATCCATTTCCGAAATTTTCTTTTTGTTTTCTTTCGTTCTTTGCGCATTCTTTTTTTTCATTTCTAGGAATTTTTCAGGATTTTCATTTTTTAATTTTTCGCGGTACTTGCGGCACCTTTCTGCTGACGATAAAGGCATCTGAGAAAAGAAACTATGATTTTTTTCGATTCCAGAAAAATTGAAATGGAAAAGTTGTTCAGTATTACGAGTACAACTGCCACGTAAGAGGCTATTACTGTTTTACAAATAACCCTGTATATCAAAATTTCTTTGCCTTTTGATCTAGATATAATTGTTTTCTATTTTTGCAAAAATTTAAACTTATTACTTACAATGCAACTATGTAAACTAACCTTTAGGAATCTCTGTTGTGACACGTCGCACAATTTCGTGTCACACGTGTTACAACGGAACAAAATTTCTTTACGACTTAACCTACAAAATATTATAACTCTTAAAACTTACCACTTAAATGAGCTTCAATTAATGTTTTTGGTGCTTTAGTTCTTTATAGTTCCTTTGTGTAAACTCAAACTGCAAAATACTTCACAAAACACAAGTTACTTATAATAAAATTTTCGAAATATTAATGACAAAACAGTACGTTTGAGACGCAATGGTCGATTGTCATTGAATACAAAATGGCGGCTGGTATCTGAAAATATTGCCAGCATTTACTAATGTTGCAAGACTAAATAACAAAGATACTTCTAAAATACGCCATTAGTTCCATAATAAAAGCGTCGCACAATTGGAAGATCACAACGGAACGAATATTAGGACATGTCTTTAATACACGATTTAACATAAAATTACTGCAAACAACGTTATTCTTATGAACAGGATTAAAGGAAGTATAATGGAAAACAAATTAGTCTCATATTTGGAACCCTAGTACTCTTTATAAAAAAATCAACACTGCATTGTACCGCGAAAGTCAGCATTGTGACACTGTAATTTTGTATGAAAGACAAATATCACAACACGAGATCGGGACATTATTTAAGAAATCTAAACAGTAAATCCAAGACAATAATGTCTGAAGCAGTTTCAAGCAAGTCAATATTTAATTTTGTTTAAACGAAATAGCATTTAGGGTGTACAAGTTTTTTTAAATTGATCTAAAAAACGTAGGACATCATTTTTTTTCCCGACTCGTAGAAGAATTTGGTCCTTACCCAGATAGCAATCTGATGAACGGTATGGCAGCGCATAAAATACGAACAAACAAATATTAATTTGTATATATTAAGATACTGTGTAAACATTCCTATTTCTATATGCAAATAAAAAGAGGAACCGGTCAACAGGAAAAATTTATTACGCCTAGACACCGCTTGTAGATTGAAAAGATGGTTCTGCGGGATATCAGCTGAACAGTTGTGAGAATGGACCCCGGTCCTTCCGCCATAAGGTCTGGGCTACCAGGGTCGACGGCCTGCCCCTCCCCTGCCTCCACTACCGCACGCCACCCGGTTATATTTAGACCGGATGGCGGGAAGTGTCCCCTCCACTTACGGACATTGAAAATCATTTGTTACAAGTGCTGTTGTTTGCGGACGTATCCGATTAGATAGATTAAAAAGATTAACAACCATCTAAACCTCCATTTTATTAAGTAATTAAACAAGTGATGTGGTTAATCGATTATTCTCGTAATTTATTCTTTTCATAATCGATTGTTAATATACTTTATCTAATTCCTAAAACTTAATTCAAGGTTAGACCAAGAAAATTTGATTATATATAATAAGTAATGCGTTTTCAATTTGCAATTAATACACTTTTTGTTCGAATTAACCAGGAGGGTTCTTTTTTTGAGTGTTTGTATGTTTGAATGTTGGCTACCTTTGGAACGTTCTGCAGCCTAAGGCTTGATGAATTTTAACATATTAACTTTTTTATAATTTAAGAGTGGCAAGCGAGCACACAGTCCACCTGATGGTAAGTGGTTGCTGTGACCCATAGACATCTACATCTACCCTCGATAACGAAACAAAATGCAGATGCGTTGTCACCCCTGTGGACTAAGATGGCAGGCCTCGATTCCAGTAAAAAGGGTCTCCGGTTCTCTACACTAAGCAAACGAAACACAGCAGCGTTAAGCTGCATTTTGACGCTGGTATTCCGTGAGAGCGTGGTGCTTCCCCGGTCGAGCCGACCCATTCGTGCTAAAACTATGCCACTAATATACATTAACACCTAATATACCACGTATAATCATAAATTAAATTATTCGTAGTCGTGGAAGTGACTAATATTTGAATTATCCTCTTTTCAGTGGAAACTTTACGCAGCTAGGTATTTTATTAGGGCCAGACCTTTGTGAATAATAATAGTATTTCATTAATGATCGATTCCTATAATCATAAAACGATCCGTCTTACAAAACGATTCGTTTTATTACATATACGAGATACATGCATGTAAAAATGGTTTAATATTACTATTCGTTCAGCAACTTGAAATGAATAAAAATTAAAAAAAAAACTTTAACCGGTTTATAAATAGTTGAACTGCTATTTTGTTTTAAAAGTGGACACTTTATCCTATACCTTTAAACGAGCAATTCTTGTATATATATATAATCGAAGTCTCGGGGTAGTATCTCGGTATCTCGGCTATAATCGATCTAGCTAGGATTTATTTTTAGAAAATGTCTTTTTGTCCGTGTTTTTAGGCAATGAAAAACTGCTACAATAGCGTTAGAATAAGAAAGTAAATTTTGACAATTTATAAATGATTACAAATGGCTTAATTGGTATATTGGGCGGTCACAAAATCGTAATACAACAATGGTTCGAGCCCAGACCGACCGACCGACTTTTTTTAATTTTTTTTCAAGTTCCTTTCTTTTTTGAGAAAATCTATTTTTTCGAGCCCTTTTTTTAGTATTTTTTAAAAACACGAAAATTTAAATTAAACTAATTGCACTCATGATTTTTTATTCAAATAACCAGTTAAGTTGTTTCTAGTATGTCGCTAAGATCAAAAAATATTATTCGTATTTCATTTATCTAAATATAATTTCCAAAACACACGAATTACAAAAAACCGAGCGTAAAATACCGAGCAAAGCTCGCTCAACCGGGTACTAACACTTTATTTACTGTAAAATGGCTCGTTAAAGAAAACGAAACGTTATATAAATAAATAAACCCGGCATAAAAGACAACAATCGCAAATTACGTCAGCGGAAGTTAGTGAATGATATGATTATTTAATAAGCTATCTAACTGTCAACATCCCAGATACTAACAGGAAACGCTATTTTCGGCCTATACTATCATCATACCGTGGTAGTTCAGAGAATGAGCGCTTGCTGTAAATGTCCACACTACGCGAGTGACCCGGGTTCGATCGTCGCCGGCACCAATGAAAATATTAATAGCAATATTAAGTGCTTGCTAATTTACCGCGTGTCCGGCGGTGAAGCTAGATATCGTGAGGAAACCTGCACGTCTCAGAAATAAGAAAAATATTTCGAAGACACGCATTGGCGTGTTGGCAAACATCACATGTCTTAATATAATATCCTAACTTAAAATAAAATATCCACATATATAATACCAAAACAATTAAAATATTCGTAAATTTTCTCGCCCTTAAACCCTTTCAGAAATGAAAGCAGGGCCCAGCAGTGGGATCTATATAGGCTGTAACTTTAACTTTTAGGTTTTAACTCAATACACATGTCCACTATTAACGGTGGCTGTGTGTATGTGAGGCGGCAGTAGGAAGCTGAACCAGAAGATCTTTCCGATAACCAATGGTTTTAACCCAATACACATGTCCACTATTAACGGTGGCTGTGTGTATGTGAGGCGGCAGTAGGAAGCTGAACCAGAAGATCTTTCCGATAACCAATGGTTTTAACCCAATACACATGTCCACTATTAACGGTGGCTGTGTGTATGTGAGGCGGCAGTAGGAAGCTGAACCAGAAGATCTTTCCGATAACCAATGGTTTTAACCCAATACACATGTCCACTATTAACGGTGGCTGTGTGTATGTGAGGCGGCAGTAGGAAGCTGAACCAGAAGATCTTTCCGATAACCAATGGTTTTAACCCAATACACATGTCCACTATTAACGGTGGCTGTGTGTATGTGAGGCGGCAGTAGGAAGCTGAACCAGAAGATCTTTCCGATAACCAATGGTTTTAACCCAATACACATGTCCACTATTAACGGTGGCTGTGTGTATGTGAGGCGGCAGTAGGAAGCTGAACCAGAAGATCTTTCCGATAACCAATGGTTTTAACCCAATACACATGTCCACTATTAACGGTGGCTGTGTGTATGTGAGGCGGCAGTAGGAAGCTGAACCAGAAGATCTTTCCGATAACCAATGGTTTTAACCCAATACACATGTCCACTATTAACGGTGGCTGTGTGTATGTGAGGCGGCAGTAGGAAGCTGAGCCAGAAGATCTTTCCGATAACCAATGGTTTTAACCCAATACACATGTCCACTATTAACGGTGGCTGTGTGTATGTGAGGCGGCAGTAGGAAGCTGAACCAGAAGATCTTTCCGATAACCAATGGTTTTAACCCAATACACATGTCCACTATTAACGGTGGCTGTGTGTATGTGAGGCGGCAGTAGGAAGCTGAACCAGAAGATCTTTCCGATAACCAATGGTTTTAACCCAATACACATGTCCACTATTAACGGTGGCTGTGTGTATGTGAGGCGGCAGTAGGAAGCTGAACCAGAAGATGTTTCCGATAACCAATGGTTTTAACCCAATACACATGTCCACTATTAACGGTGGCT